AAAGAAGCACCTCGCCAGGAACGGAGAACACCCAGTTTATTATGCACGAACAAACGGAATAAAGTCAGCACTGACGATGTATACACCCATTCCCTTTTTATACAATTACTGAAACCGCGCCTAAACCACACCCCCTATCACCGCCCATACACCCAACGTCCCAAATGTTGCTTCGTCATCCTGACCTAAACGTTTCCCGACGCCCCGGCCGCTTCCCGACGCCCCAGCCGTTTCCCGACGATTCGCGACTCTTCAGTAGTTCCTAACAATGTCTGGTAATGCGTCCGCGGTCTCCTCCAGCCGCGCATGCCCCGTTGATCTCCAACAGTCCCTGGCGTCTGCGCATGTGCACCCACCGGCCGGCTGTCACTCCGTAAGACAGATTGTTGGCTTCCCCGGCGCGCTCGGCTGTCCGTTTACATGGCGGGCCGGCTATAAGTTGTTCCGGGCGGATGTCTGCTGCTGCATTCAGGGTAGGCGGCCCGACAGTCGTAAAACAGTGCCAGTCGACCCCCAATGGGGTAGTCCTCCTTGGCGTCACTTGGACCGCCTGTAAGGACGACTGCCTGATCCCCTGAAGGGATACTTGGTCTGGAACTGACCCCTGGCTGCACTATTCTGGCGGTCCTGTTGCCGATCCTGTCTGAAAGAATAGGATCGCGAGCCTTTGGGCCAATCCCAGGACTGCCCTGCCCGAAAGGGCTATCTCCAATCCCAGGAACCGCTGGGACGGGATGATGGCCTACGGAAGTCCTGTTGGGGCCGTCTATCTGTTTTTTTAGAGGGATGGGCCAGCGCCTTGCACTTGTCCTTGCCCTTAATGATATGAGGCTCTAGGACCGGACCAAAAAGGTGGGTGCCACTGTACCTAGATGTTGCTAAGCGCCACTTTGCCTTTAAATCCGTGCGCCATTGCTTCAACCAGAGCAGCCTACGTGACGCCACTGAGGCTGCAATGGATCTGGCTGAACATCTAGCCGAGTGTAAGGATGCATCCGCAATGTATTCGGATGCTGCCACTATTTTCCCTATTGTTTGGTGCGCTCTGACCTGATCCGGCGGAATGAGCGTCTGGAGTTCCTGCAACCACATAATTGCCGAGCGTGCAAAGAAGGAGGATGAGGTTGCCGCCCTTATGGCCCAAGCCGAAGATTGGTGAGCTCTACGAAAAGAGAACTCGAACTTTTTGTCCTCTGCCTTCAAGAATTCAGCCATGTCCCCCGGGACGGCGGTATTGGAGAACAGAGAGGTCAGCGGAGCGTCTACAGATGGGACTTCTAGAAGAGAAGCGAAAGAAGAAGAGACATTGTAAAGTTTCTTGTCTAAACTGCTCTGTGAAGGAGTGGTAGCAAGGGATGCCCACTGCTTTTCCACCGTAGACCTGAAGACTAGTGGGCATGGAATCTGCGGTTCCTCCTTGACCTTTTCCGCAAACAGAGGGTTGGCTTCCCGGTTGGATGAGGAAGAAGGAGTCTCCTCCTGGGCTGAGGTAAGTTTTACCGTGTCAATAGCCCTTACGAGGAGTGACCGAAAAATGGACGGATCAAAAAGCCCGGAAGAGGTCACCTGTTCAGGAGCTGGATCCTCCTCCTCAGACAAGGGAGTGTCTGCTACTCCCAGTTCCACTGATCCCTCCTCCCCTAATTGTGAGGATGTCTCCGAAACAGCAGAGCTAGGTCTAGTATCACGCTCCACCTGAGGTGGGGGAATAGATGCGGGAGGAGTAGGATGGGACTGCACCTGGCTACTCTCAGTTGATGACATAAACTGCCTGAATGCTTGGTGCATGAAGGCCTGGAATTGAGCCTGGGACAACATTTCCCCTTGGTCCCTGGAACTGACCCCAACCTCTGTTGAGGCACACCTGGTCTCAGGTGGCTGGTGTGCTGATGAAGGAGAGGAGCGAGGAGGACCTACCTGCTCGGTTTCCCCCCGAGGAGACCAAGGTCTTGGGGCATCCTGAGATGATTCAAATTGAGGTTCTGTCAAAGGAGTATCCAGTGGGGCGGGGGAAACCGTTTCAGTCCCACTGGATCTGAGCCTTTGTGCCTTGGAGAATTCTCTCTCCAATGCTAAGTGTCTCCTTGTGGCCTCTCGCCCGGCTGATTTGGAAGTATCTTTGGAAGACAGATGTTTGGTTTTAGCTTTTTTCTCCCCCCCCCCATGTCCAATTCTTCAGATCTGCGCTTTGCTTGAGCGGGGGGGACACTAGATTGAGAAGCCTGGGGCGAGGAGCTGTCTGCCATTGCCGTCTAGGTATTCCTGGACAGTAGTACCTAGAAATGGGGGGAGGAACCCAACACGCAGATCACAGTCAGAGATGGAAAACCGATCCTCGCTCTGAACAGAAGGCAATGGCAAGAACAGCCAGACAGTGTTCTAATGCTGTCTGTACAGGCCTTGTGACAAAAGGTCATGGGCTAAACTGAGAAACAGGTGGACAATAAAAGAATCTCTTCGCTCTTCTCTTCTAGGCCTTAGGACCAGTTAATAACACCTTGGTCTGCTCAAATGCAGCCAAGGCCCACACCTGGATAGCCCCCTCAAGTTTGACCACAACTCCTGTGGATACAAAAATATCTTCCCCCCTGAACAGGTCTGCTCACAGACCAAGTGACACAGGCAACAACTATGCGTCCGCAATAATGCAGGAATAACTGCCAAAGTTTATGCAAAAATTTCAATTAGGCCTCCAAAATGGCATCCGCCACGTGGGACCTCTAGAAGCAGCCGCGCTAGACCATGCAGTCAAAATGGCAGCCGCCAGGCCTTAAGGCCTGGAGAAGCAAAACCCTGTCGTATTTTAAACAGGAGAATCAATTACACAGCAGGGGAACACAAGGCTGATTTGGGATTCCTCCCCCAGTCCCCAAGCACTTGCGATTAGTAGCGCAGCCCCTGCTGCGATCCAGATAAAGCTGCAGTCAGGAATTCTCCCTCAAGGCCTCGAGGCAAGTAAATCACTCAGGAGGTCTCGAGTTGAAAAGCCGACCTCCGCTACCCAGCTGAATTGGCGGAATCGCAAAGAAGCTACAGATCGTCGGAACGGGAGCTCCCTAACGAACGAAGCCTGCAGCCTCCTTTTCAAAGCCCAAAGGGCTGCAGGGGAGGGAAGACAGAGTCCCTATCCCCCCCAACGCAATCCTCTTAATTTGTTAATCAATTTGAATTTAAAGTATCCAATTTTAATTTGAATAGCCTAAAAGAAAAAAGGAAAGAATCAAACTTAGCTAGGAGCCTTCTGAAAAGCGTCTTGCTGAGCACGAGACTAAGACAAAAACTGGGAAGTCACACCCAGAAGGAGGCGTGGCAGAGTTTTTTTGTCTTAGTCTGAGCAGGTGGGATTAAATTACCCAATCAATCAGTGGAGTCTACATCCATCCTGATGGAGAAGACAAACTACAGAAGCCTCCCCCCACCTCCCACTCCTCAATTTTGTTAATTCAAAGTAGCACTGATCCCAGTGTTACTAAAGGATCTTTATGGAGGATTTCAAATTAGAATTTAGAATAAAGGGGATTCCAAATAATATTTCTTTAGTTTAGAGGAAAAAGGAGAATTCACCAATGGATTTCTAACCTGCTATCAGTTGACAGCCAAATCTGATACGTCTTCAAAAGCTGAGACCAAGTTAAGACTGGGTCTCCTAGCAAGAGGGGGCGTGTCAAGTTTGGCTACTTGGTCTCAAGAGCAGGCAGACAGGGAAAACCCATTGGTGGATTCTCCATCTCCTGTACTGGAGAAGAAAGGTATAGCTATATACAACACTATTAAGAAAATACTATCTCTTCAGATGTAATTATAATAAAAACAAAAAAAGAAAAAAGGCCTCAAAAATTATAAACAGAATTTCCACTCCACCATCAAACCTATTTGTAAAAAGTCTTTCTCTTTATTTTTTTTGTTAAAAAATAAAAAGCTACTATTTAAAATGTTGACAAACAACATTTATCAGCAATCCATTGCTGCAAAGCAGAGTAGATTTTATCTCCCAGTGCTGTAAGATACTTCTTTTAGCCAAACCCCATGTCCACAGACTCATTATGTTTAAAGAGTTGATTAATCCAACAGCGGTGTCCATAGAATAGATTACAACAGACAACTTATAGTCATGGCATTACAAGTGCAATGTTCATGATGTACAAAGAGGGTGGACATCAACTGCTACATTAAATCCTCTAGAGGGAATTAACTAGTTTTGTGTGAGAAGAAGAAATGATGCTCACATTAAACAATTATATTGTTTCTCAGAAATTTTATAGTATTTCATCTAGATATCTTTTGGGAAAAAGGTATATTCAGAGCCCTGAAATTATTTTCTCAAAAGTAAGTCATATCCATTTATAAACATTAAGGATATTTCCTTGCAAGATTTTTCTGAAACAATATTAGACCTAGGATCCTGTAAAATCTAAATTTTAATTCTGTTTTAATTAGAGATTATATTTCCTTTGTTTTTGCCATGTTAAACACAATTTATTAGAGAAAAATAAATTAATTTCAGAATCTGTTGCTGATTCTCAATTTAATGTATAAATGGCCAAGTTTTAGTATCAACTTGCCTACTGGCACCTTGCAGGAGACACATGTTCACTTTATGCCCAGCTGTTAATATCTCTGCAATTCACCTTAAAGAAATCCCTACTTTACATAGTGCTTCCAGCTTCCACCCCAAAAAACAATAATTAGGATAGATTTTATATCACTACAATGACAGCTGGGTAATACTACAAAGATACTGTAAATCACTATGGAGAAAGACTTTTCCAATGACAGTAAAGCTGTTGAAAGCTTCAAGACAATATACAGTAGTGTGATTAATAATAACAGCAACACTATAAATTAAAGTAGGATAGGTTTTGAGTTAGATATCTAGCAGTACATCAATGAAAGGAAAAAAAAACAAATTTTAAAAACAGAAATTTACTCACAAAACTGTAATCTTTGAGAACCTAGAAACCCCCAGAGACTATCACAGTGCCTTGGCCACTTCTACTTACCTTTGTGGAGAATCTGGATCAAAGCAAGTTTTCCTTACATTAGTTACTTTGGGGTTACAACAGTCTCCATCATCAAAATTGTGGAGCATATTGTTGCACTCCATGTTGCACACACCATCCCGACGTTCCCAGACATAGCAGCGCCCCAGCCAACGGCAGTCACCACCATCATAGCCTGTCAATGGGTGCTTGCACTCAGGATTGCAAAACTCATTGCCAATTTTTCCAGGTTCACAGTTCATTAGAATCACACGGTGACGGAGCAATGAATTATATACTTTGTGAATTCGAAGTTGCCAGGTGATGTTATAGCTGCTAAAGGCCTCATTCAGGGCTTGATGCTGGTGGGCAATCTGTTCTTCACTCACAGTAGGATGGAGACCATCATCATCATAGATATTGACAACCCGATAGTGCACTACTTTCTCATTCCGTAGCGGCCAGTGGCTGTTGTAATGAGATATCAATTCCACATTATCACAGGCAGTTTGTCCACAGAATGGGGGTATAAGTGGAGATAGAACTTGAGGTTCTGGTCTATATATCATCTCTACTTGTGGGTAGACTCCATCCTTGAATGTTGCCCACTGCTGCTGCAAATGGCTGAACTTTGCACTGAGCCATAAAGAAGGTTTTCTTCCTTCAAACTTTCCCAGGAAGGCCCTCTGGAGTTTCTCTTGGGGCATAGCAATGTTCCAAAGGCCCAGCAGGGCCAGGTAGCCTCGGAAGTTGTGTCCATCTGAGTTGCTGCCTCCCAGGATCAAAGTGCGGCAAGAGGCCATGAAAGGACTGTGAAGGTCACCAGATTGCTGGGAACTGCGAGCTACCCGCTTGCCATTGACATACAGAAACATCTCCTTCCCACTGTAAGTGGCTGCCACGTGAGTCCATGTATGGAGCCGGTAACGGTGGTATGCCAATATAGTGGTAGATTTCTTGACACGGTCTGTACGGAGTGAGAAGAAGAAACGGGCATTCTTTCTTCCAGGATTCTCCTCCGAACGGATGCCCAATGTCCATCCCTTATCATTGCCAATGTGAGAGCAATTGTCAAATACACCTAAATGGAGAGGACAGAGAGAAAAAAAGGGAAAAGAATGCAATATAGGAATGCTAGTAAAAGTATTATATCTTCTCCCATTTTGAGTACAGAAGCAGTATACACCACATGGTATAGTTATAGCAAACTTACATATTTAAACTGATTGGAATCTGATTTCCCACCCACCCCCAAGACTCTTGGAAATTGAAAATGATTTGTCTAATGGCTTAGGTAAAAAAAAGGAGTAGACACTATTTGCATATCACACTGCATCAAGTACTATATTTAAATTGTTCAGCTTTGCAGCCAGTCTTATTCCTTTGCCAGTGGAGCTATCCAGAGAATTGGTGCTGACTGAGCAAGTAAAACCCCAGAGGAGCATTAGAGCAAATGGCTCATGCTGACAATTCCTGGGTCTCAGTCCCATCTGTCTTTCCTATCCTGTGGTATTCATTCTTCTTCTGGAAAACAAATACTTAATACAATTGCTTGCTGCGACAGCTGGCTATACTGGGGAACATCACTCTTCATTCTGTAATTAGGCCACTATTATGTGGACATTAAGTACCTGCAAGTACTTTTGCATAATGTATTCCTATTTAGTGTTGTTAGTAGTATTCATTATTATATGCAAGGTAAACAAAAGGTGGCAAATATTAAATTACAGTGACACAGAGATGTTTCCAAGTATACATTCCTGGCAGGTAGAAAGATGCCATTTAAATTAAATAAAGTAAAATTTGAAATATTCCAAATGGCTCACTGATGTGATGAAATGTAAAATATACTTCACTGGAACTCCTTGTAAGCTGCTTACTGTTCTCCTTATAACCAATAATTTGGGGTCTTAAATTGGGAATCTTGTAGATGAGACCAGAACATTTGTGTACAGGATTACACCTAGTTAGGTCCAAAGAAAGATAGAATAAGAATATTTGAAGTAGCCACTGACTGTAGGATTAGTATAGAATACCTTATCTCAAAGTCTTAACCATCTACCTAATCAATAGAATACAGCCTTCTGTTGGAGAAATACATACCAGTTCCACATAAAGCCTGCCCTTAACATTCACAAAGGTTTCCCAAAGATCATGCTTACGAACTTATAAATACAGATAAAACAATGCAATGATCTATCTATCTATCTATCTATCTATCTATCTATCTATCTATCTATCTATCTATCTATCTATCTATCTATCTATATCTTCTAAGCGACCAAAAAACACATGAGCACCAGGAATATTATAAAACTATAAACGTTTAATACAATTAATCACCTAGCTTTCGTCGGCAGCTACCGACATCGTCAGGGTACAATGTTAGTCGATGGGAGAGTTCATTTATAGGTAAAGCGCTGCTTGCACCTGGCTCCTAGTCCCAATTGGCTAAGCCGCACTCTAGTCGTAACTCCTGTATCAATGACTGTGCTTTTCTTGCATCTCCTACCTACGTGTGTATTGTTATGCATTCTCCCCTCATGTGGTCCTAAGTTGGGGGAGTTTTCTCCCCCCCTTTTTTGGTTAATCAGGAGCTCCGCATCTCTCAGCTGCTCTCTTTTCTCACACTTTCTCTCCCCTTGTCCGGGCTGTCCTGCTATGATATATTCTCTCTCCCCTTCCTCCTTTCCATATCCCCCATCCACATCCCAGTTGCCATCTTTTCTCTTGTGGGGTTGCACCCTCAACTCAGTATACCCGGACATCCAGTTTATGGAGGAGGAGGAAAACCAGGGTATGTTGGCATTTTTGGACGTACTTGTTCACCGCCAACCGGATGGAATCCTGAGGACAAGGGTGTACCGTAAACCTACGCATACTAATAGAGTCCTCCATTATGGAAGTAACCACCCTATTGCCCACAAAGTCAGTTGCATTAGAACACTATTCAGACGAGTAGACTCCCACTGCAACACAACCAGGGGTAAAATGGAAGAAAGGAAACATCTCTTCCACAAAGATGTAGATGCAATGGCTATCCAACAAAATTTGTTAAGCGCCACAGTATACCGCCCAAACCCCTGGAAAACCCACGGACAGAAGAATTACCATCACAGGCAATCCGTGTTACTCTCCCTTACATTAATAATGTTTCTGAGACAATAGCTAGGCTGCTAGCACCGCATAATATGAAGGTGGCACATAGACCTAACCAAACACTACACTCTAAGGTTATGCGGCCCAAGGATTCACTCCCCAGCGTGGAAAAATCAGCGATCATATATAGGATCGACTGCAAGGACCGTTCCAGCAATTATGTGGGATAAACCTCCAAGAGAGTGAAAACCAGGATCCACGAACACAGGTTAGCCGTAAAAAGGGGGGAGCAGTACTCTCAGATCTGGACACATATGGCGGAATCTGGGCATAGATTTGATTTTGATAGCATACGTGTCATAGCCAGTGATAACACAAAAGGGGGCTGGTTGCTTAAGGAAGCCTGGCTCTCGGATGGAGATTCTATCAACCGACATATTGACTTGTGACCAGCACATTTGACCCTGAGGGCATGGAGTACGTGTGATCGCCCATCCTGGTGGAAGCAACCTGACATCGTACCGCGGGTCCCAGAGAAGGAAACCATGGAGGAGATTAGTCCCTCACCCCAATGACTCATGAACATCCAGGTGGGGAATAATCAATGGCCAAAAGACCCCCCCCCGCCCCGAGGGCATGTACACGCTCCCAAAAAGCAAAGAGACTATTGGGTAGCGAAGGAACAGCGACCAACGAGCCAGAGATTCCCCCACACCTCCCAAAGCACCTAAGAAGAGTGACACCACCCATGGACATCCAGACAGAGGATAACCAACGACCGAGAGGCTTTCCCTCCACCTCTACCTCCACCCCCACCCCAAAAGCACCCCCCCGAAGAACAAGGGAACTATCAAGTGATGAAGTGACGGCGGTTAACGAACCAGGGACTCCCCCGTGCCTCCCAAAGTATCTGGGAGGAGTAGCACCACCTACGAACATTCAGGTGGGGGATAACCAAGGATCAAAGGACTCCCCCACCCTGAGAGCATGTACATATCCCAAAGAACAAGGGGGTTGTCGGGTGGTAAAGGAATGACAATCAACAAACCTAGGATTCCACTGGACTCCCCGGATGGGGAAGATGGGAGGAGCCGGCTCGAGGCAGCGACAGATCGACCGCACCCGAGAAGGGGAGGATGGTTACATCAATCTGCCCCACAGGGATGGCCCAATTGCGCCAACGGGGGCCACGAAGTGACGCACGAGATGCCTGAGATAATACGGAGACCAACAGTATTAGAAATGGGGGGGAGGAGAAAGCAGATGGCAGATGGGACAGCAGCCACAATAACGATGACCATGTGAATGGAAGGGGGGGACTGGAGAGCAAGAATCAATGGGAGGTGTTAAGGGCGCAACCCCACAAGAGAAAAGATGGCAACTGGGATGTGGATGGGGGATACGGAAAGGAGGAAGGGGAGAGAAAATATATCATAGCAGGATAGCCCGGACAAGGGGAGAGAAAGTGCGAGAAGAGAGAGCAGCTGAGAGATGCGGAGCTCCTGACTAACCAAAAAAGGGGGGAGAAAACTCCCCCAACTTAGGATCACATGAGGGGAGAATGCAAAACAATACACACGTAGGCAGGAGATGCAAGAAAAGCACAGTCACTGATACGGAAGTTACGACTAGAGCGCGGCTTAGCCAATTGGGACCGGTGACGAGATCTAAGAGCCGGGTGCAAGCAGCGCTTTACCTATAAATGAACTCTCCCATCGACTAATATTGTACCCTGACAATGTCGGTAGCTGCCGACGAAAGCTAGGTGATTAACTGTATTAAACTTTTATAGTTTTATAACTATAGTTGTAATATATAATATTACATGTGTTTTTTGGTCGCTTAGAAGATGAATATACCCAGGAATCACACTTTTATTTTTAACGTTATTATCTATCTATCTATCTATCTATCTATCTATCTATCTATCTATCTATAGTAAATACATTGTTATGACCATTACCCATCCTGTCATTCAAGAGTAGAGCAGTTAACTATTTTAACGCATGCAAAAATAAAACTCCAAAGATATTTTCAAGGTCTTTAAAATGTACTAATGAAGAAAAAAAATAAAGGCCAAAAGTCTCAAAAATACCTGCATCTTCATTTCCTTGTTGTTCAAATATTAACATGGTAGGAAAAAAATAAGAGACTATTTTTCAACCTTGAGTTCCAATTACTTTCCCAGATCATCTGGAATTCAGTAATGTGAAGGAAAACTCTATAAATGTTGGAGCCAAAACATTTGGTGATTAAAACCTGGCTCTCACACAGGATATAAGAAGGTGAATATGAATCTCTGAAAAATGACCAATTATTCTGACATTTGTAATAAATGCAAATTGCAAGATATTTCAATCACAATCCTATTCTTCTTCATATGGTTCAGAAATAACAAAATGTAACTGGAGGGGGAAGGTAAATGTGTCCCTTAGTACGTATTGTTTATTCAAAATAGTTTTGAATGTTGAATTCTTGTTTGCCTTTCATGAATCATGAGGTTATGAATATTGCTTCCAAAAAGAAGAGTTATAAGGTACTTGACAGCACAACATGTTAATACATTCCTATAGGAAATTTTATTCTGTTTCTGACCATTTCCTAAGCTTTTAGTAAAAACAGTTCACATACCTACAGTTTAAAAAACGTTGCTTAATCTAATAAAATAATTCTAGTGTTAAAAATTCTGTGGCAACAAGCAGCTTCTCCAATGGAAGCTTTCATCAGCTGACAAAGTCATCAAAATACCTGAACTTTATTATCATTGCTCCAAAGCAGTGTTTCTCAAAGTGTGGTCTGTGTACCCCTGGGTGATCCATCAATATCTGCTAGGTGATCTGCTATAGTCTCTCAGATGAACTAAACAAATATATTATGGTTCATTTACCTAGAAAAGATGATGCCAACAAAATTACTTTTACTTAAATCAGAATAAAAGAATTTAACTACAGTACAGCTTTTTTTGTCACCGGCAATCAGATG